AAAACGCTACGAATTAATTCCAACACCTAATATAACTATATATAATTTTATATAATAATTATATATAATTAACAAGTCCTTCACATTGAATTATACATATTACCATATTACCATATTGGTATACTTACTAATCAGCTAGTTGCCGATTAAGTTAATCGAAGTTTGAGCAAATCCACTTCTACGAATGAAGATTAGCTTATATATATTCTATTTACTTTTTATCTTCATCTAGTTCTTAGAATTTAGAAAAAGATGAAATTAAGTTAAACTGAAATCAAAGTTAATTTATTGATAGAATAATGGATATAAGAGAAATAATTTTTCTTTAGTCTCTTATAGTAGACTTTTGTTAATTCTTTTCAATATTACTTAAAATAAAAAAATTAAATAAGATGCGCCAAGTGGACCGCATCCCATGATGGAAAATTGCATTATATATGCTGCATCCTAGAATCAGAAAAAAGAAAAATAAATTTAAACTAAGATTAAAGCTAATTTAATCTGATATAAACTAGTTACTCTAAATTCATAAAAATACACGCATATATGAGTCGAAATAATCTCTAATCGTATATTTTTTATTCTTTCTTCATTGATTCGTCTCCTGAGCATGTTGAAAAAGAAAGAACGGAGTGTTCGAAGGTGCAGAAAGTGCAAACGAAGAACGGAGCTTGCTTTGCCACGACCGATTTCTCCTTGTCTCCTCTATCCCTCGATTCCCTCGTCGCCGAGCGACAAGCAGTTCGGTCTATTATCGAGTCAGAAAGTCACTCGTACTGTCTCGGCTCGCGAGACGACGCGAAGGTGGACAACACTCTGTAGGAATTGCCTCGGAACTGTGCAACGATACCAGGGAATATAAGATTACTCGCTTCATTCAGGTCTATGATCACCGTCATTATATCTCGCACGTCCGAAACAATTCAAAATGAAACCTGTATGGATTCGAGTGTTGTAAAGCATAAGAAGAGGGAAATTCGCGACGAGGAAAACGAAGTGGAAAATTGACCGACCCGATGAGTCATTCGCTCGGACGAATCTAGATCTATTTGCACTCCTTGCACTTCTTGTGTTCGGAGTGAAATAAAGAAACGTGATCCATGGGAGCGAGAAAAAAAGGAGAAATGATTACTTGATCTCTAATCGGATTGTGTTAATATCGATGTAATTGTGTCATATCGCGATTAATCGCTAATAATTCTACCTGACTTGATTTTATTGATTGTTTTTATTATCGTTCGCGCCGGGTACAGTTGATACGACTATTATTGCAATTTGAAAGCAATTAAATAGGACGGCGTTTTTATTGTCGTGCAGATCGACGTTGCATGAAAACAATTCGTGAATAATAGGTTTTTTAATCGCTTTACTCTTTTAATTGATAGATACAACCGATAGTATCGATTATATGACTTAAAACAGCTTAACGTACAACTACGATGTTTATCGTGATTCGCGAGTGGTCACTCTCCTGTATATCTTATCGAAAATCGTAATCAAGATTACGTATCTAACGTAATTGCGCTACTACTGTTACCGAGGAGATTACGGAAAAGATATCAGAAACAGCGCGCGCGCGGTTACACACATCTGACTTCCTAATTCCTATTCCTCAGTGTCGTGCGACGGTGCGACCGCACTGACTGCGACGGTGCGACAGCGCTTACAGCATCGGGTGAGTGACGGCGAGGGCGAAAGGGATCCAATGAGATCTTTTCTTCTGCTTACCGTGTCTGTCTGTGGATTCCGTGGTACGCGCCTGCACAACTTCCGCGGCGCGCGATGTTCTGATGAGCCGAGTTATTATTTCACGCGGACGAGGTAAATGGAGAGGCGCCAAATGCGGCGTGATCAGGCAGTCATCGCGACCAAAAGGTGGGCACTTTGTTTACGCATCTTGTACTGGTTCTTCTGGGGTATTACTGTAAAACGCGACAGGTGAACGTGACATGGTTCGACCAGGTGGAACCAGTGATGTGATCAGGTCGATCCTCGCTTATAGTCGAGAAGCACTGTTCTTCTTGCTTAGATCACGTATATTTTTGACATTGCGAGATGTACGCTCGAAATTCGCGAATTATTATTAGATCACGTTCACCTGACTGATAGTCCCCCTGAGTTGTGTTCGAAGACACTCTCCGAGTGACTCCGAGCATCATTTTATCCTTGTTTAACAGTCGGTGGGGATCAACAAGGATAAAATGATACTCAAAGATATTTGGATAATGTTTTCAAACGCAGTCTTGGTATGTCAAGGACGAGCCTATTGTTTCTCAATGAGAAAAACATGATGGAATAACACGGGAGTAATATATAATGTCATTATGGTTTTCCATAATTAAGCAAGTGTTGACAGTAATTAGGAATGCTTGTGCTTGTGATATGAAGGAAAGAGTCAAAACTGTAGAAGAAGACTTTATGGCTGATTCTATTACCATTTAAATCTTTTTAAATGTTTGAAATTGGAGCACGATAGATGGTATTTATGCTGCTGCATACATAACTGGTTATTGATAAGACTGATGGTAAAGTACTGCCAACCAGTGGCGTTCACGAGCATACCAGTTAGCATATCTTTTTTAATAGCATATCTTTGTTATGGCAGTTGTATCAGTGGTGGAAGTTATACAAGTGAAATCTCAAATGCACTTTAGATATGGCATTTTTGCCTATATCCAGTCTACATCTTAGACAAAAATGTTATTTTTTTACAAATAAATTAAAACTTAGTCGAGATATTCTGTATAACAAAATCTACAATACATGCATGCTGATAAGCAATGAATTTCGTGAAATTTATTATCAATTCATTATTGATTTTTAAGGGATGTATGATATAAGATACAAGATAAATCTTAATCAATTACAAACACATTGGGTTTTAAGGTGATAGCATTCTCGTGAAACTTATTAGTCCACATGCAATTGTAATCAAATATACCTTACATACAGAAAGGTTTCTTATTTGCATGTTTAGATTGTTTTATATTTAATTTTTGTTAATAATATTTAATACTTTTTGGAGAATTAATATAAGATATATTCACAACATTCTTTTTCTCTGTATAGATGGAAAGATCACGACAACTGCCCAAAGATTTACCTGCAATCACTGTCAACAGTAATGGCAGTGTTAAAGGCAAGGCATCTTTTGTTCGACGATTGGCAATAGGATTTGTAATTCTGGCCATATTAGGCCTCTTATATGTGCCAGCGTACCACTCCGCTCAGAGCCCATTTTTAAACTTAGGTGAAACTCCATCTCCTGCAGAACTTCTTGGTAGTTCACGCTTCGTAGCATCTATGGGTATGTATTTATCATTTTACATTCTTTACGATAATATAATTTTGGGAAGCTTTAAGAATACCTATACAATTATATAAATACTTATTAAGTAGTATAATCATAAAAATATTTTAAATTTAGAAATTATACAATAAGTAAGAAAGAGACAAATAATATTGTGTGCACTTCAACAAGTGATACAAATGGATCCAAGAATTACATCCTTGTTGTTTGCCAATGTTAAACAAAGATGATATGATCACTGTATCACACCATGTCGCTTGTTGGAAGGCACACACTACAATCTGATTACAACATCTTTAAATATGATGCAATGTAGTTTAATAATATAATTTAGAATAATGTTAAACATATTTTATATCTTGATACAATAATATTTAAAGAATAACGTATTTGTTTTTTTTAACATGATTTAACAGAAGCTTGACGCAAATATTTAATTTACAGCACAATTGCCTGGATGGTCATATAATACATCAAGAGATCTCTGTGCTTATATTCATCCGGAGAATAACACATTGATTCTCAATCCTACCGGCATCTGTTCATTACCGCCATACTTGCTTATAATTATATGCTCGGCAGTCGCAAATCAGGAGGCCCGTACCGCTATTAGGAGTACTTGGGCCAATAAATATAACTTAGATAATTTGTACAATTCTACAGTAAAAATAGCGTTTCTGCTAGGAAAAAGTGACAATGATACACTCAATGTAAGTATACTTTACAACGTTATTATTATAATAGTGTTATTACACAGAAAATTACTTTTGTAACATATTTCTAAATTTATTGTTTTTTTTTCTAGAACTTGATTGTTGAGGAAAGTTCTCAATATAATGACATTGTGCAAGAACGCTTCTTTGATACATATAACAATTTGACACTGAAGTCGGTCATGATGCTGAAATGGGTAACGTCGAATTGTGATCAAGCTAAATACCTCATGAAAACGGATGATGACATGTTCGTAAACATTCCCTTGCTTCTGCAAACGCTGCGTTCGAGAACACAAACGGAGACTCTTTTAGGTTCCCTCATTTGCAGTGCTAAACCAATATTAGATCCTAAAAATAAATGGCAAGTATCTTTTCGTCTGTATTATTTAGCAAAATGTTATAGAAAAATAATTTAAGATTGCAATGATTTCAATTGCGTAGGTATACACCCAAGTACATGTACTCGGAGAAAACATATCCAAATTATTTATCAGGTACAGGGTATGTTATGAGTATGGGTGTGGCATCTAAATTATATCAAGCAGCATTGGTAACACCATTGTTACACTTGGAGGACGTTTATGTCACGGGTTTATGCGCGAAACGTGCGAAAGTCCGACCCATGAATCATCCTGCATTTAGTTATTCACCTCGTAAATTAGATCCCTGCGTTCTCAGGAACGCGATTACTACGCATAAGGTTAATGCGTCCAATATGTATGTGATTTGGGTAAAAATGAACAACACGAATGTTTCGTGCAGTAATCATACTCGTACTGATAGAAAACCGATCACGTTGAGCAGAAGCGGTAGGAATGCTGGCTATTATGTCTTTAAAAGAAAAACTATAAACAAGTGCGTTTAAATGTACTTTTTATAACGTTGATTCCTTATATTATAAGACTAATTTTTTTATCGAGCTTTCTAAGCGCAAGTGGAATCGAATAGATGAGAAGAAAGATAAGGTATGAATTATCTAAAAACTTCAGTTTAGGAAGAGTTCTCTCTGATTCCTTATGGAATTATTTATTTATAAATTATTTATTTATAAATTTATTTGCAAACATCGAAATATTGTCGGTTGTTTTCTATAATTTATATAAATTATTTTTTTTTGTGTACATTTTTATAAAAAATTTAAGCAAAAATTTAATCGATGAATTTTCGCATATCTTCGATTCTATTAGGCTGTGTCCAATTTCCATTGTTAGTTTACGTTTAATATTAAGTTTTTAAATTTTATAAGACTATAGTCAATTTGCACCGATAGTCTAATTGAATATTGATTGGTTCAATGTCTTTTTACGGATTATAATTTCATAAATGGTAAACGGAAACAGAAGATTTTATTGATTAATATATATTGATATTATCTAATATCGGTGCAATTGGTACAATACGTAGAGTGATCGTGACAAACGACACACCGAAGGTTTTGTATATTTTTCTATTTATACCAAAGTAGTATTTAAGAGTACACTGTCAATTAGATCTTTTACATAATTTATATTATCTTTTTTCGCCTCTTTACGTAAGACATGATAAAAAAATCGGTAAGAGGAAGAAGAGTATTATTGTGTCATGAACAGTTTTTCCGAATGTTAGACTTCTTGACATTTCCTAATGACAATTATTTATATACAGTGAGAGCAAAAAGTATTCGTACGAGGAAATTTTTTATAAAAAGTCTTATTTGTAGAAAATAAATTAATTAGCAATTTTATACAATGAATACATTATGTTCTTACATTAATAAACGATCTTCGCATATATTCTTGATTTAGAAGCTAAATTTCTCGACTGTACGAATACTTGAGCATCCACACAATACAATTTTTAATTTTCGCTTATTTTGCAGATGATATATTTTCTATAATTAATACACATCTTTTTGGTATATATAATTTTAAGAAACATACAGTCTTCATTCTTTAAAAATAAATTGTTAATTAAGAAATGATCAATTAAACGTTGAATCGACGTCAAATTGATGTTGAAATCATCGATATTAATTCAATATCAATTCTATGACTCATTTCTTGCTGGATAATATTTTCTCTCTAAATCTGAATTAGTGGATAGTCACTAATTACCCAGTGGCATATTTGACACTGATAATCAGTTCAACTAAAAAAGGAAGAATATTTGAGCATTAATAATTAAAATACTGATATTTACATGTTAATTTCAATTTTCCAATATCATATTCATTGAATTTAAGCACTAAAACAAAGTTAATTAGATCATATGATAAAAATTAGCTAGGTTAGAGATTATCTCACATTTAATTACTAGTAATATACTTGGCACTGATATGAGTGATTATCCACTGATTCAGATTTAGAGAGTATTTTTTAAAAATAAAGTTTTTTAAAAAATATTTTTTTTGTACTTTTTGCATTCACTGTATGTAATATAGAAAATTTTCTGCACGATATGATTTCGTTAATATTCTATAAGTTGAATATCTTGTGATCGAAGATCACGTGGGAGCTGTTTACAAAACTTCTCTTTATTTTAATACAAATATAATACTGCTTCCATATACTCATGCGAAACTATTTATATAGGAATGGTATTATAATATTATTAATCTATTTCAGAATTTCCTAAATAGTCTTGTTTCCACATATAATAGACAAAATAAATACGAAAAAATTGCTTCCTTAATTTATGCCCGTATTCATAGTCAGGCCTTATATTTAAGGCTTCCTTAAATTTATCTTTAGATGCTCTACGAATTATTTCATTGAGCTCACTGTTGAGCATCTAAAGATAAATTTAAGGAAGCCTTAAGTCTGATTATGAATACGGGCACTAGTAACATAAGATATAGATATTGTTTTCTATTTGAACAAAAATAGTAACTTAAAAAGGCTTGTGCTAATAACGTAATCTCAAGATTTGTTTCTTGTTATTCGTAAATAAAATTGATATTTTAAATTCGTTGATATTTCAATTAATATTAATAAAATAATTATAAATTATAATAATATATAATAGAAAAATATTATTTTGGTTATATTTCAATTCGCTTATTTTTATTTCAGATAAAAAGTTGAAAGAATATAATTATACTTTCAAATAAAGTTATTAATTTTGCAAAAGCATAATATATTTATTGTGTATATTTTTTAGGACATTAAGACTTTGTTAAAAATGATATTTCTTCAAAATATTTTATAATCATATGTTTTGTTTTCTTAAAAAATAATGTATTAGATTCAAAAAAATCTTATATAATTTTAGTCTAATTTCATATTGATAAAATTTTTTTAATTATATGAATATAAATATGTATTTTGTACGTATATTTTGAATATAAAAACAAACTTTTTTTTTCTCTAAAATTTTAATATCGATTTTGTTCTCTATCATCAAATTAAAATATTTATATGCGTGTGCTTTTTAGCACTATTTTCTATTTTAGAATAAAATATAAATTATATATATTTATATATGACAAATTTATATACTTATTGCAACAGATTTTTTTTTAAAAGAAAACGTTTTAAACATACAAATTACACTTTTCATTTAACTTCAGTAATTATTTAACAAAATGTTTATCGTAAGTTAACTGAACGAACATTAAAAAATGTAACACAATAATTTTGTTCTTTTTTCTTAAATAAATAAATGCTAGATAGCATTTTATAATTTCCAAGTATTATAGTCGTGGATAACAGTACAATTTGCAATCCATAATGCAATCGATGTTATTCATTAAATGAAAATTCATTTATTAAAATCGTATTGTAATTAGAAAAAAATATATATATGTATATTGATAAAAGATAAATAGATCATTAAGATAGATATTAAGAGCTTGATAATATAGCCTAATACTTGTTAGAATCTTCGATCTGAATATAATAATTTTAATAGGGATTTATTATAATTTAGTATAAGTATAATTCGAAATATAATTCGAAATTTGTAATACATCGCGTATATCATTTTATGTCACATATCAGAATGATTAAGAACTGAGGTAGCAAAGAAGTTGCGAATAGTAAAACTGTTGTATGCTTCAAAATTGATATATTCTTTAATCCATGATGACGAAACGTTAGTAACTTAAAGTGAAAATAATTGAAATGAATTTTACGGAATACCCTAGTGGCCTTAGAAAATTAATTTTATTTTATAAGAATAGATTTGACGCTAAATTTTTTATCACTAGTCTCTGCTAAGTCATCGTAATACTCGGTGCTATCTGAATGTGAGTTTTGGCTAGCTAATAAAATTGATATAAATTTGCAAAAAATATATTAACCGAATATAATACAATGTACCATCATTTTAAGAACTTCTATCATTCTTTACATGGAATATAAGTCAGCCACGAAAGATACACCTCCCAGGTAATAAAAAGTGTCTAAAATCGGGTTATAAGACATTTTTTTGCATTTAAAAAACGATTTGTGTCACAATTTTAGACTTTGTGTTGTCTGGGCTCTTCTCTTTCAAGATTCATAAATTTTGATGATCGTATAGAAAAAATTAGATACGTCATTTTATATTATGCTATAATATGTTTATATCTCTGCGAAAGCATTTTTAATCGCCTTTAGAAAAAAAAACATCGATTTGTACATTCGTCTAAACGTATGTACATATAACAGGAATTGTGTGTAAGATAAATGTAAATATTGTTATGTTGCATTTCGAATAAAAGAAAAACAAAAGAATTTTGATGCAAATATTATTTATTAAAAATACAAATATATCGAATGAATATTTTATATAAAACAAATATAATACAGGCATTGTATTTCTTTTACTTACATAGGAACTTTCCTTATAGACATTGACAATAGTTTAATGAGTTGCATATTAATTAACATTTGTAATTAGATATGACATACTATCGCGAATATATGTTTATAACGATTTAGGCTGTGTTCCAAATTTGCTACCAGAATTAAAAATTTATAATTTAAATTACATGTACTTTAGATTTTGAGTACTGGCAATTTTGGATCACAACCTTAATATGAAAAATAATTGTGAAATGAATTATTTTATTAACCTTTATCTCAACTTACAACTATTGATTTTGTTTAAAAACTTTAATACAGTTAATTTTCCTGAGATTAGAATGAAATGAATAAATTTACAGAATATAGTCACTATCTGGAAACACAGCAATATTTCGGCGCTAATAAATATTTACAGCAATGATAAAGTTTTACATCGCGTGGAATCATAATGTAACTCATATATGATATCTATGAAATATTGTTCATTATTGAAAAGATAATCATAGCTAATAATCATAATCATTAATATTTATTTTTAATTGCATATTTTAATATTTATGGAATTTTCATATTAATTACGAAATTTATGGAATTATAAAATTTATAAATTAAATTTCTATAAGTAAATACACAACTAAAAATATTTGAACATAATTATATTTTAATAAATTCCTGTTGGAAAAAATGTATATATTCAGCATATGATCATATATAAAATAGAAGATTAAAAATAGAGCACGAAATATGCTATAAAAAGAGATCACTAAGTTTTTGTTAAAATCAAATCAATAATGAGCAGATAATTCGATAAATGAGTATTAAATAATACGTACGTATTTTTCTATCAATATGTATAATTTCAAGTTATTATTAAAAATTTTTTAATGAAATTACATTTTTGTAATTTATATCATAAAAATATCGTGAAAATATAAAAATAGAAACATGTTTGAAGTATTCGAGTACATTCATATTTTCATACATCTTATTTTTTTGTATTTTTCTTTTTTTTTAAACAGGCATACGATGAGTTTGAGTGGGTACTACGAGTTTCTTTTCAATGGTATTTGCATTTATTTTGAACGGTAATTTTTCAACATCAAATATTGTTAAATTTTTTATTGCAGAATTTAATTCATTTGCCAAAGCTTCATCTTTCAGTTTTTCGACAATTTTCCTAATTCCTTTCGAAGGGGGGCGCAGATTTTTCTTTTTTTGTATTTTGTTTAAATTTAGGAAGTAGAAGTCATGATTTATTTTTCCTTCCGGATTGTTATATTTAGCTATTTTTGAGATGTCGTGCTTGCATATTCTATCTGTTGTCTTGTTCGGAAGTATTGCCTTGCAATCAAAATTCTCTCTTTCCTTGTCAGTCTTTGTTGCAACATCAATTATTACCCAATCTTTTTTAAATGATTCGTCTGCCTTATTGTCTACCACGTTTTCCATTTTCAGACTTTGGTCTACTTTATGCTCAGTGCTATCTTTTTCCTTTTCACATCTTTCTGATTCAAATAAAATATCATCTAATTTCACCTCTAATAAAATATCATCAGATGTCTGATCTATTGATTTTCTTTTAACCATACTAAATAATTCGTCTTGTATTAGCTTCTTGAGATTAGTATGTTGAAATAATAAGTCTTCTGTTATTTTTGCTTGACTTGTACTACTAGAAGCATCAGATTTCATTGAATTATATAAGGACAGTATTTTTTTTAAATTCTTTTTTTTTTCCATATGTTTATCTTTCTTCATCTTTTGAGATTCTAACTTTTTGAGCTTCATATCCAAAAAGTTCTGTTTTTGGTTATTGTTCTCTTCTAAACTACAAGTGCTTAGTTGCTCGATTAATTTATGTAATTTTTTTCTATTTTTCTTCTTTGCAGTTTTGGATAAAACAAAATCTTTTGTTTTTCCAAAATATTGCATCATGCTTACTCTTCCATACTTATTTTCCTCGATGTCTGATTTTGCATTTCTGTCGGCTATGTCATTTTTTTGATCGATCATAGCATCACTTAACAGAGGGTCAGTATTTAAATATAATGCATCCTGCTGTGCAATTCTTTTCGATTTTCCATTTGAAAAATTGTGTTCCGTTGGTTCAAGCATAGCTTTGTTATGATGTAATCCAACCTTCTGATTGAACATATTTGTATGTATTTTCTTAAATAAGTTCTCTGAATCTGAACATGTTCTGAACATGTTCATTTTATAATCAAAAATGCGCGGACCCTTAAAGTTTTCACAGAAATTATGGCAGTTAGTTTTGGAAGTAGCGGCGGTTTTATTAAGATTTTTCATTAAAGAAAACTCTTTATCATTCAACTCAACTTTAATGTTTTTGATGGTGTCATCATACAATCTGTCCCACCAAGGTTTGTATTCGTCGTATCCTATACCTGCCTTATTCTGATTTGTCGCGAGTTTTATGGGTTCCGTTATGCCATTTTCATTTTTACCAAGTCCTTTGCCTATATTAAAAAAAGATAAGCCTTTAGTTTCATTTCGTTCTTTGTCTCATATTGTCGTCGCTTGGTTAGCGTGTTTTATAAAGGATAAAAGAATATAAAAAAGAGGGAATGAAATTGGGATTGAGTCACAAAATAGACGAAGGCTGCGTTTCGATATTTACTGCCAGTACTAAAAATTTAAAGATATATGTCAATTCCATTTCGGAAAAATTTTAACCGCTTATAAATATGTTCAATTGCAAATTAGCTTATACTTTTCTTTTACACTATTCCAAATATATTAAAAAGTTTAATAAAAAAAAGGGTAAGGATCGGTTGTCAATTAGTCTCATTTTATTATTGTATTGCGGTACACCTTCTGAGTTACATCGTTTTTGGTTGAGATGCTAGTCTTTGGTACATCTTTTCTTCTCATTGCAATTGCTCCAACATAAGATGGGATTCTATAAGCAACTGTTACTTTTTCTTCTTTTAATGAGATTTAAACTCTTCACTTAAGAAGGTACTTATATAATATTTTGCTAATTTCATTTCATAGTTGCATAATTATGTGAACTTGGATTGTTACGGTTACTTTTTGCAGTTTCTTTATAGATCTTTTTATATAACGTCTACATTGCTGGAATGCTTCCAAGGTTTTTATGACTACTATGAGAATTTTATCTTTGGACTTAATATTATAAAACAGGACAAGAACACTTTTACAAGAACACACGCAAAATGCTCTTATTATTATTTGTGAATTTCTGGATTTTTAAGGACTAAAGGATTGACTACATCGTCGCAAGCATTCTAGTAATTAACGCGTATTTACATTATATTATACATGTATTAAGTGATAGATAATTTATATATTATTTCCGGTAATAATTTAACATTTATAAAAATTTTTTTGTCAACATTCAGAATGACCCGATCAGTGTCGAAACGTTTGTTTTGTTGTATTTTCATATTTATAATTTTATAATATATTTTCTTTGTTTTGTATCTCGTAGCCCTTCAAAAATTTTGATTTTATTTATTATTATCGAGTTTTATTATATCTTTTATAGTTTCAATATACATTACGTGCACTATAGATCTTCAGTACTGGCAGTGAATATCAGTAATTTCAAAGTTACGTATTATAAATTGTATTGTAAATTGTTTGTCAATTTCGCCATGTGGCGGAAAATGCGTCGCATTGTTCGGACCAAAAAATTCATAATTCTTACCTTCCTCCCAACCGTACTTCAACAGTTCTTGCTTAGCAAAATTTGCCATCTTCACAATCGTACAAAATTTTGTATAATATACGTAACACGTGGTTTACTACGTTGTACATATATTAATATACGTAATTGCCACGTACACCTCTCTTGACTCGGCACTGGAACAGTGACGATTCAGATGGGAATTGCCTCGTACAGTACGCTTTTATCTTATAGTCTAGTACCAGAGAGAACCTGAAAGAGGGCATGATGGTCCAAAATCTGTAACAAAATGCAAGTAATGCTGTTAGTGTCCCTAGAATACAGAGTCCGGCGATCTCATAGATCTCTTTTTATTGGATCAGAAATCAGACTCCCTAAAAATAGTGGAACCAATCACCACACAAGTCTTTTACAATTTTTTGAACAATAATGCATTGTATTACCTGTCTTCTATGAATTGGAACATTTTATTATACAACAGTATGGCATTGTATCTTGCACGTACAGAGAATTATTGCACAGTACTTTTATAAATATTATTCATACTACTATTCTACTTTCTATATTTATATATTAGTAGATAATAGTATTAATTATTATCTTTATTTTTATATTTGATGTTTTAAACGAATTAGTTGTTTATTCAGAATAAACGACTTTAACCTATCAAAAATCGAATACATCAGAATACATGATTTCTGATAGGTTGATAATATTGTGCAAATAGTAATCCGTTAATTTGCACTATTTTTTTAGAAAACTTAGGCCCTGCGTGCAATAGAAGGAATAAGAAATTAAGAATAAAGAATAAATGATTTCAACTGATCAGAAATCATTTTAATGTATTCGATTTCTGATAAATTAAAATCGTTTATTCTTTATTCTTAATTCTTTATTTCTTCTATTGTGCGCAGGGTCTAATGGCTACTTAACAATGTTATCAATAATTTAAGAACATATCCATACAAACTTGCATAGCCGCATAAACGTACATAAAAAAATTATTTTATTATACAATATTTCTGCTATAAAGACGTATGTAAAATGTAATTGGATAATTTTCTTTATGCATACATTTATGCGGCTATGCAAGTTTATGTGGATATACCTTAAGAGAAAATTAAATTCTGGCCAGGGATTTTCGTTGCTACCAACATTATCCCCTTTTTTATTATAGAAATTGTCGAATGGTTTCTGTACACTGGACGCGACTAGCGATATCCAATAAAAACTCTGCTTTTTTTCACGACGTGCAAAGCAGAGCTTTAATTGGCTCGTCGCTCGTCGCTCATCGCATCCAGTGTGTAGTAGGCATTATGTCTGTAAAGTTAGTTACAATATTTAATATAATTTAATAAAATTCATAATAAAATTGATATTTGTTTAAATAATATTATGATTAATATTTTTGCAGCAAGAACTTTTTAGTCTTGAATTTATAACTTTTATATTATACTTAGGATCGAGTATTCAAATATTTACATACTGCTAATGGCAAAGAATTCGATTTAAAAGTATCGATGTAATAAATTTTATCTTTTACCGCGCGCTTAATGTATATAATAATCTTATATTTATTATATCAAATCATGATATATATTTTTTGCGTAGAATAAAAGCATCGCGCATGCTTTATGCCAGTGATTGGACAGTAATATCAGTCAAGCAACATAAAAATTTATTGCTCGTTATGATGATGAGCCAGAGAAGAAAAATACTTTCTTCTTATGGATTCTGCGCATTAATACTTGGTACTTTTATATTGGCAAGTACACATATATAAGGTTTAATAAAAATATAATATATGTAACGTATTATAAAAGATACACATGCAAAAATATAATACGTAATAACTTGTTAAATATTTTATAAGTTTATTTTTTATATTTGCGCAGATTCTAAAGACATTCTATTCTGCTTTTAATTTATTGCAACAAACTTCAAAGTAGTACTCGTCGTTTATTCTTTATGAAATGTAGTACTAATGATTTAATCGAACTTACAGTAAATGTATTTTTGTACATACACATAGTATTTAGCAGTAGAAATAGAATATTTTAGATATTCTTATATTAGAAACTTTATTCTGTTTGTAATAAAACTTTTTAGCACGTTACATTTGTATAAAAAAAAGAACAATACAAATTTTTATAAAATATTTTGTCAAATATTTTAAACAAATTTTTATAGAAGCTAGAAGAGATTTAATAATTGAGCATATGGAAAGTTTTTATGATTTTGACTCGAAGTTCATTTTATATTCAGAATTTGCATGTAAAATACTAAATTTTTTTAAAATTGTAAATTATATAAAATATATTTTACAAATTGAAAAAAGTTTGAAATCATTTGAATTGATAATATAATGTTATCAAATATTAACTTAAAGTCTTGGCTGAACCTAAAATTAAAGTCTTTATTAATTTTTGTGTAAGTTAATTTTTGAAGTAAAATTTAACACCTTTATATTTTAAACTTTATTACATAGAGGAGAAAGTGGTATTAAGACATCCCATTTACTTTTTGTATAATAACTTGGTCAATAATCAATACTAAAACTTAAGTTACATTTGTCAAAATGTTATTCAATCGGTTCCCAGAAGCACACAATATTTATCAAATATTTACAAAATATTTGTGAATATTTATAAAATTTATTTTAAATATTTTGTATATACTTTTGTGGTCTTAGGTTGCTCAGATCATAAACATTTATTACAAATATTATAAAATATTTGTTGTAAACATTACAGTAAATGCTATATGAAAATAAATGAAAATAAATTAATGAGATATTATAATCTAGGTAAAAAATATTTATTAGAAATATTTATTTATATTTACCTTAAATAATATATAAAATATTTAGTTTATATTCTAATAATATTTCGAGAATAAAACTTTATATAAAATATGTATAAAATGTTCATATAACATTTCAAAAATGATTAGTAATAAATATTTATCATAAATATTCTGTGCTATCTGGATTTTAGACTCAAAATTATTCATTACTTATTGTTAGAATGCTATTCATAAAAATGTGACGACACTGCATAATCTCTCAAAGAGAAACAAAGGTAATAATATGTCCTTCCACAAAAATAGATTTAAAAAATTGGTTTTATTTAAAAAAAAAGGAATTACAATTAATAGAAAAATAAAATATAGAGTATATGGTATTCAAATTATGCAAATGTAGATATACATACTTCTTCAGCATAGACTGCTTAGTACTAAATAAATTTATATACATGTAATATAAATTATAGATTAACAGTAGAGCTACAATCAATTAATGGAATAATTATTTTAATATGAAAACTTTGAAAAGAGACCGTCAATATTCAATATGTTTAGAAGTCCACAGCAGCAAAATGTCATACACTGCTGATTCTCTTTGTATAACTTAAAATGTACAGCCAAATAAAAAAGTTAAATAACAAAGAACATTCAAACATACAGGATATTCAGCGTAATGGTCAGCACGACTTTTCGGACACTTCCGACAGTTTAAAAAAAAAGTTAAAAGGTGAATATTTATCTGTTTCATACAGGTTATAACATGTAATAAAAAAATAAATTTAAAACAAATTTTTTTTGTAAAAATTCGACGTCATCTTAAATTTTTTTAATGACACCATACAATTTTTTTTCCATAATATTATAGGAGTATTTAAGACGGATTCAAATTACCGAAATGTCACTTTTATTAGAGAAGAAAGTGATATTATGGTACTTCAGTTACATTTTTACACACAATAATTTGGTTAATAATCCACATTTAAGTTTAACATTTGATAATTACATTAAAATGTTATTGATCGATTCTGGACTAAAAGTTACGAAATATTCATTACGTTAAGACACTATTAATAAAAAAAATGTGGCGACATAGCATAATGACTTGAAGAAAACATGGTAATGTGGCCTTCCATAAAAATAGTCTTAAAAAATTAGTTTTGTTTAGAAAATTGTATGGAAAAAAATTGTATGGTACCATTTAAAAAATTTAAAGATGACTATTTTAAGATGATTATTTTATTAAAAAAATTTTTTAAAAATATTTTTTATTGTGACCTGTATTATGAAATAAATAAATATTCACCTTTCAACTTTTTTTTTAAACTGTCGGAAGTGTCTGAAAAGTCGTGCGGACCGTTACGCTGAACATCCTGTATATTTGTATGATACGTTCAAATTTAGGAAGAATGGGGAAATATGCTAAAATGTATTATAAATATATATTTTGAAATGTTAATTAAATAAATATGCTAAAATGTATATAAACGTATAATGTATATGTATATATACGTATATATGTATTAGGTATTGGAATTAATTCGTAGCGTTTTTTAATGAAAGAATGTTATTTATTTCACATGAGCATTAAAAAATACATTAATGAAAGTACTTCCCATCACTTGTAAAACGCTACGAATTAATTCCAACACCTAATATATAAATGTATATGTATACATATTTTGAAATGTTTGCAAGTAAAAATATATTATAATAAATGCTGACTATTGTGTATTGATCGTGCTGTCAAAGCGAACTACAAAGCAAATAATTCCATAATCGCTAGGATTCGCTACTTAATAGCGGAGATATTAAAAGGAGGAGCCATTATATCTCATACCATATACTGGTCATAATACTACTTTCCCCTGTACAATTTGTTTTTGTTACACACTTGTTTCCACTTCTTTTAAAAAGATTCTTTTAAGAAATTTTTACAGAAGTAATTCTTTCTTAGCTATTATTTTCCAAGCAAAATAATTGAGTCATATGTTTCATCTTTGGAATTAAATGTATCTTATAATAAATTCATAATTTTACGAATTCTTGTTTTACGATTTTTATATTTGTAAGATAATGTAGAAGGAAATCTTTTAAATAACAATTTATCTACATTAAAGACTCTGTCGCGACATTTTACTTCATCTAATAAAATTAAAAATAAAAATGCGAACAATGACAGAAGTCTATATGTTCTGTTAGATGATATTAAAAAATAATGCACCCTAACAGTACCATGTACTTAGATATCGTTATTAATGCAAGAACATTGTCATCGGGAATGTCGCTACAGCTCTATAAACACTATATTTCATCATTGTCGAGAGAAGATTTGCTGTTACGTTTATGGATGCGACGATAATAAAAATATGGACTTACTGCCGGTGAATTTTTACGTTCTTCGTTTCTGCGGCGTATGGAAAGAACATAAGAATAGCAACTTGGTAATACGCTTTATCAGCTTCTGCTACAGGTAGAATAAATATAAGATAAATATAAGATAAATATAAGACATATATTATATGCAAATAAATTTATTTATTTATTTTATCATTAATATATATTAATATATTGAAATTGCTTATAAATACTGTTTATTAAGAGATTCTCGAGTCGATACTGCCTAGTCAATAGATAGTTTATTTATAATAACCCAGTCAGAAATGATAATGGAATCGACATTTGATGCTTTCGACGTCGAACGATATCGAATCGACATTGCTTCGATGTTGATTCCATTATCATTTCTGATTGGGAATATATGAAACAATTAAAATAACTAAAAATAAAAGATTACTAACAATATGCTATTATACATAATTATTGTTAATTTTATATGTTACTAAACATTTTCAAAATGACAAAATAAACGTTATAAGATGCTCTTTTATGTATACATATCATCCATTTGATATATATTCTAGCTTTTTTTATTGAAGAATATATAAATTTCTGTAAACTGTAGGTTAGTTTAAATGAAACTTTACAAAAACAAACTTAAATGTTTACTTTATAATTATAATGATTTTTGAATTGCGGTTTTATACGCAAGTGTTTCAATTAAAAAAAAAAATAACTACAGAATAAGGTTATATACTTTCAATTTGTAATGTAAAATTCCATAAATTAAAAATTAAATATCTTCAAATTGATACGGTAAAAATCAATGAAATTTTTTCTAGATATTATTTATATTATTAACTTTTGTATTATATGTATATTGTAAACTTGTCTTATATTGTCATCAAACGCGAGAATTTCCTTAATTAAGTGATATACATTTTTAGAAATTACAATTATGTACTGTATTGTGTAACTTTTTGACATATATATAATTTTGATAGATATACAATTGCTGCTATAATATATCATTTTATGATATTTGAGATGGCTGAGCTTATACGTATGAGAAATGATGTAGAAGATTTAACAGAAAGTCTATTCCTCGTTCTAACTTTTATGTCTTTGTGCCTGAAGTATTTAAACGTTTTGATGAGACAGTGTGAATTGCGTGCTTTGCTTGATTGCTTTCGCGCTAATCTTTGTCAGCCAAGAAATTCGATGGAGGAATCGATATTGAAACAATACGACTTTAAAGGTACTTAAATTATATTATTCCTATAAGAAATATTTGAAAAAAATTTATTAGAATATCAAATATTAATGATTAATCCTAGGATACTATATCCTAGTAGCACAAAGTATTGGCGCAATATTAGGAAACAAATGTGCAGTTATCCAAGAGATTCTATTAAAAACCGACAATTTTACGAGAGATCGTATCACTGTTAAAACTTAAGTGATTAAGAATAATAAACTAATAATACTAATATAATACTAATATATAATATTAATTTTATGATTTATTATTAGTTTTGTATATGTATTTAAAATTCATATAATACTCGATTTTTATTTAAAATTATGATTTTAATGTTATCGTCCGTTTAATTATCAATAGAGATAATATAATTATATAGAGAAAACAATTGTAATTTTGCAGCAACATATAATATACATATTATAGCATTTGTAAGGATGCACACTTATTTATAAAACATTTACATAATAAAAAATCATCAATTTAATAATATATTATACAAATATTTAAATTAATAATCGTAAATTTATATTATTTATTGATAACGTAGATGTATTTCAATTAGTTTCGGTCCTTCGGGCCCTCTTTGTATGGACGAAAATTTGTCCAGAATTGACGGTCTTTAATAGTATCTCGTCGGTGGGGCGGACAACATTAAACATTGAGTAAGAACTGCACACCCAATATTGGTCCAATATTCGGCACATAACAAATATAACAAGTAATTAAATAAATATAAGGTACAGAAAATAACCAAAATAATTATGTATTAATTCTTATATATGTTTAAATTAATATATAATATATAATTAATTAATAAATTAATATATAAAATTATACTCAAATGATAAAATCTTTATATTATCAGCGGCTGCTAATACAATATAATTTTTTATCCACAAATTTCATTTTATATAATGATTTAAAGTGTCGCATCCACTATAGTATAAAGTTGCACAAAAGTTGCAGCAATTTCTGCAACATTGCAGAGATTTTGCAGCGATATTGCTGTAAATTTTATGCTATATGGGATATATATTAAAAATGAATCTCGAAATAATTTCGAATAGGTATATTAAAATGAGAAGGTCTATTAGAGAGTCTTATAGCAAAATAAATTATGCTATTGTATAATAAAACTTTATTGAAATAAATAATTAACAACTTTCTACAAACAAAAATATTATACAGGACAAACAAAAACGAATAGAAGAATATTTAGATTAATATGTATTAGTGAGAACAAGAATTAAGTTTTATAAGAAGAGAGAGAGATTTTTTCTTGTTGAGTCCTTTTGTTAGTTTAATCAGTACATTTTTTTCAATATACATATATAATTTTTTAAATATGTGTAATATAATTTGTATATATGTTGTATTTACTCCTACATCTCATAGAATCTAATTATTTTGCAAACTCCATTTCATCGTGATGTATTATGAACGAAGCTAAAAGGATAGCCTGTGCCTTCATGTTCATTTCGCAAATATCGGGTTTCTTGATTATCATAGGACCTTTAATGACTCAAAACGAAAGACAGTTACCGATGAAAATGTACGTACCGTATTCTATGGTGGAGTTACTTCCTTATCTGTTGACTTATCTTGAGCAAGTTGCAGTTATATTTTACGGGATATCACTAAACGTCGCTTTTGATTCCCTCGTTTACGGTTTCATTATTCATACTTGCGGGCAGATCGAGTTGTTGTGCTATCGATTGTCGGAAACATTCCGATTTCTACAGGAGAACAATAAAGAGAAGGAGCACGACGTCATCGAGAAATTTGCCATTGCGGAATGCGTGAGACATCATGTTTCGGTGTGCAATATCATGCACAGAATACAATCATTATTTATGTGGATTATCACCATTTTGTTCTTCTTCAGCCTTATCACTCTTTGCAGCAGCGTCTATCAGATGTCTAAAGTATAACAATTGGTTTAAAACATGTATAGAATTGATATCAGTTAAGTGTAGATAATATTCAATCGATGTCTTTATATTACAGAAAAATTTCTTCAGCGTTGAATTTTTCATTTTTTTAGTATACTTAGGAGCAATGTTGTTTCAAGTGTTCTTATATTGCTGGTATGGCAACGAGCTTGATTTAAAAGTATTGGTGAAAATAAACTTTTAAATTATTTTACTTTTAATTAATATTTTAAATCCATTTGTTAAGTTAAATATTTTTTGATTAGAATAAAAGTATTGCACATGCTATTTATGCTAGTAACTGGACAATAATATCGGCAAAGCAACGCAAAAGTTTATCATTTATGATGATGATGAGCCAAGGTGGCAGAATGCTTTCTTTTTATGGAATCTGCTCATTAATTCTTAGTACTTTCACATGGGTAAGCATATTAAATATGTATATACATAATTACGACTCTTAAAATATACTACACTAAGAAAAATGTTCTGATTAAATTAATAATTAAAAAAGCCCAATAGGAAGGCATTTTGATGAGACAAAATTAAGTTTTTCATTATTATAAATTCTGTTTAGTCTCATCAAAATACCTTTCTTGTTAGGTCCTTTTGTTAGTTTGATTAAAATATTTTTTTTCAATGTATATATAATTTCTTAAATATGTGATGTATAATATAAAATTGTATGTTGTATACAAACAGTTCAAATTTTTCTTCTTTGTTTCTGTACAGATTTTAAAAACATCCTATTCTTCTTTCAACTTGCTGCAGCAAGCTACGATTTAATATCTTCGTATCTATTCTTCAACAACTGTAGTACCATTCTAATCAAATTAACATAAAACTTATTTTCGTATCTACTATACATGTATCTCTAGAATTTTATAGATATTTTTATATCTATAATACATAGGAAAACTCGTCTTAAATAAATTATTTTTCAGTCCTCTGTATTTTATGATAAAAATAAAATTCTCATGATAAAAATAAAACTTCTTATTGAATATTTTTTTGCGGAGTAATTCAAAACAATGTATGAATTCAAAAACATACTTGCAATTTTGTGCGTTTTTGCAAATTCACGATTTGTTATATTCTCCTTACAAAAATTTTTATTGTAAGTTCGTTAGTTTTTCTGACAGACGAACGATGCTTGCAAAAGAACCTCTTTCATGCACATCAATAGTAATAATACTTTAATATCCCTCACTCTCAGTATCCCTTTGTACATCTTCGATACTGCATACGCTACACAAGTTTATAATTTAAAAAATAATGACCGGTTATGTTGTCGCAGACGTCTCATGATTATATGAAAATGAATACAGAGACAAAAAGAAAACATAGCGAAGAAAGAAAAAATCAGCTAATTCTGTCGCTGTCATTAAATGTTAAAGAATGTTTAGAACATTTCGAACTCTTACAGAACGTTCCAGCGATATTATTATTAATTTACGAGAATGGACGTTGACAATGTATAGAAAGTCTCGTTATATTTTTCTCTACAAACTTAATATTTTCAAAGCATAGTAAGACACAACAAAAGGGAGACTATCTATAGTGATCGTTCTGGAATTATGGATATATTGCCATTGAATTTCCGAGTTCTCTGGTTCTGTGGTGCATGGAGCGAAAAGAAAGATAATAACGGTCTTTTTATTCGTTTTTTAAGTTTCTGCTATAGGTACAATAATACTTTTTTCTACATCTTGTTTCTATTATGAATATAAATTTCTATTATATATTATATCTGTTTGCATCGCTCTACAATTAATTTTTCTTTTTTCTTGAAAAATTAATTTGTTAATATGATTTTTTTTTTAAATCATGTAGTGACTATACATATATAGCTTTATTATTGAGTATGAAAAAGAACTAACTTAATTATATTATCAGATTGTGCATGGAAAATCCGTTTCCATTTAATTTTTGTTTATTTATTTATTAAATTTATTGTTAATTTAGGTTCCGTCAATTAATTTTTTAACCTTCTAAGATTTTAACTAAATTTTATTTTAATTAAAGAAGTGTTTCATGATCAGACATTATTAAATATTTCTACTTAATCAAGATGCAACTAAAATTGTTAAGATTTTAAGACATACTAAAATTTTGACAGGTATGCCATTGTTATTTTAATATATGAATTTACGATATCAGAAGTAATTGAGCTTGTAAGAACGCACGATAATATCGAAGGTATAACTGAAGGACTTTTCTTAGCGTTAACTTATGTAGCTTTATGCTTTAAATATGGGAACTTCTTAGTTCGACAAAACGAAGTATCCATGTTGTTGGACTGTTTTCGAAAAGAAACATGTCAGCCAAGGAATTCCGAAGAAAGGATGATCCTTATTAAGTACGATCGCAAAGGTATTTAGCCAGTATTCTCGCTCTAATGAAATTATATTGCGAATAATGAATTTCAATATTTCTTTAAAGTTAAAGTTATTTATAATATATTTTACTATAGTAATGCAATTATATTAAGATTTAGATAGATAATAACAAATATCGATAAATCTTTATAAAAAAATATACCAAAGTTAATTAAATTTAAAAATTAATATTGTTTAACATTAATATTATATCAGAATGTAACTTTTTTCACTCTTACTAACTTTATATTTAATACTTTCATTTCTCTCATTCTACGATACATTTTATGATATATTTTTCTGAAAATGTATATTTAAAGATATATAAACTTGAAAATGTATTATACGTTTTTAATATTTATGTTTACCGCAGCTAAATGGTGTGTCAAGACTTTCATGAGTATATCTCAAGCAACTTGCATAGCTCTTATACTCGCTCCTATCGTTGGACCCCAAAATACTGACAGACCTTTACCGTTCAAGACATATCTACCATACTCGATATCTGGTTTATATCCATATTTAGCGACCTACCTTCAGCACGTAGGCGCAATATTTTATGGGGTACTCCTCAATGTCTCGTTCGACTCCCTCGTCTATGGTTTCACCCTTCACGTCTGTGGACAAATCGAGCTGCTGTGTTATCGTCTGTCCAAGATCTACAAGGATCATTCGAAGCAGTACCAAATCGATACGGACAAAGGCACGATAATCAGCGAGTGCGTGAGACATCAGTTATACGTACACGAGATCGTGCGCAGGATACAGTCGTTGTTTGTGTGGACTGTGACGATTTTATTCATTTTCAGCATGGTGACTTTGTGCACCAGTATTTTCCAAATGTCCAAGGTCGCGTAAACTGAAATCCCTACAATGATCCTTACAATTAATTCCTTACAATTCAATCGGCGCCGCTGAAATTTTTCTAATATTATTTAAATTTTTTTTTGTATACAACAGATAAAAAAATCATCGATAAAAAACTATTATTAAATACCTAATTCACAATGCGTATAGCGTATTTCACAAAACATACTGAATTAATTTTACTTGCAGAAGAGGCTTCTTAGCGTCGGATTTTTGTCATTGACTTTGTACCTCGGCTGTATGCTGTTTCAAGTGTTCTTTTATTGCTGGTATGGAAACGAGCTGCAATTAAAGGTAATTATAAATGACAAATAGTAAAACAAATTAAAGCCGATTTTAACTTTTAATTTATAATGAAATCCTGGATAATATATATAAAATATAATATGAATTACGTATGTTCTTGTAATATTTATTTATAATATTAAATTATAAATTACTTATAATTATAAAATTATAGATTATTTTAAATGAGCTTACTATAAACGATAAAAATGTTTTTTATCGTGTGTAGAGCAAAGGCATTGGCGACGCTATTTATTCAAGCAATTGGACGGTAGCCACAACGCGAGACCGCAGAAGTCTGTTGTTCGTAATGGCCACTAGTCAAAAGGGATTGAAGCTGTCTTACTACGGAATTTTTAGTTTGGCTCTCGACACTTTCACTTGGGTAAATGCGACGATGATTCACTTCGTATAGCCTCTAATGGCAGAAACAAAATAATAGTCAACAATCCTTGCCTTTGCAGATTTTAAAAACGTCTTATTCTACTTTTAACGTCTTACAACAGACGTCGATGTGATTAGACTGAAATTATAAAAAGAATTACAGATTGTATAAAATTATGTATTTTCTTACAATCGTGTATTTTAGATATGTATATACACATGAAAGCCCTTTAAAATAAAATCGTCTCTAAATTATTAATTATTTTTTAATGAACTAATGAACTTTTAATGAACTTCATACAGAACAACATTCTACTTGTGTTAAAATACGTAGATATGTGGTTTTTATTATCTTTTATTAACAGTATTACTAGAGCAGTCAATTAATGCTCTTATAGTATTAAAAAAAATATAGTATTAAGAAATCCAGCAGGATACGAATGACTTAAAGGTATGTATTGAGAATTAATAGTGTAAATTTCATTTCATTTTTTAGATTTTTTAGGCTTTATCAGTTTTTTAATCTTTTACAGTAAATGTCAAATTAATAGGCACATCGTGTGTATTATAAAAAATTAAAATCTATGTAAAAGTATAATTCTATATTTTATTATGGCATAAAGATATAATATCTACTATCTGAAAAAATTCCACTTTATATTAAGTTTTTTAATAATTATTTATTTTACTGAAAAGAATAAGATACACACATGCACTACAGTAATTAAATTATCATTAATCAATTTTAATCGATTTGCAGTTGTATATTGTATAATTGGGCAGTTTATGAAAACTTTTTACCTTTTACACTTTCAGGCTATACAGTTATCAGTTACGTAGCACTAGTCTATATCTTTCACCGGTTCATTGCTACTTTCTGTACCTATATTTTCCCGCAGATATTTAATATTGCACAACAGAAGAATTACTCAACAAATTCTTGTTTTACGAGACATGCAATGGAGGCATCTTACGTTAAAAACATATTATTTAAAAACAGTTTCTTTTCTACGTGAATGAAACATATGCGATGTTGGAAAAGGGCTCTGATGATAGTCCAAGGCGATTCGATTGAATTAAAATTTAACGTCCGTTTGACAATATTGTACTACATTATTAATGTAGCTCGTATTGACGGAATGTTGTCGGAAATTTTATTACATGATATAGAGAGAAAAACGAACTCATATAATATTAAAAAGACAAAGAAAATTTCACGACGACTGAAACGGGACAAGAATAAGGTCGGCAATTACGTGAGAATAATACGTGTATGACGATATGGATATTCTACCAGTAAACTTTAAAGCTCTGCGTTTTTGTGGCGCATGGAAAGAACGGGAGGACAATAATATGTGCGTTGGTTTTTTGCGCCTTTGTTACAGGTATGTCACACAGTTATACTAAAATACATAATAAAAATAATACTTGCGTGTATAAAACATTTCCTGCATCAGGTTTGTGAATTTTATTATGCTAATGAGGCTTTCCTTCTCCTCGTTAATTTATTCATTGGTTATTTAAAGTGGTGAATATCTGTATAGGTATACGATTTTTCTCTTAATATATGAATTTACGATACTCGATGTGATAGAGATAATTCGCACACGCGACCACATTCAAGAATTGACCGAAGGACTCTTCATGGGGTTGACTTTCTTAACACTGTGTGTTAAGTACGCGAATTTTTTATTACGAGGGAACGAGCTGTCGGATTTATTGAATTGCCTACGCGTAAAAAGATGCCAACCAAGAAATTCCATAGAAAAGCTAATAATAGAAGAGCACAGCCGCAGAGGTATTGGAATAATTCGCAGATACATATATATGAATATTACACAAACGTTACATATTACAAAATATAAATATACATCAAAGATTATTAATGAAGGCAATCAAGGCAATCAAGAATAAATAATCATCTATTTAAATGCATTATTTCTTGTTAACAGCATTGACTATTGAGTTTTTTTTTATACGATAAATACCTTTGAACTGATTAATTGCTTAATAGTTATTGGATTATAATAGTTAATTCAATAATATAATTTAAATATTATAAATTAAATATAACTTTGACAACAGTAGTGAACGTAAAATTTTATTAAATCAAATGTTTCTAATAGCTAAGTGGAGTACTATGTCGTTCTTGATGATATCGTACGTGACCGGATTAGGCTTCATTATCACGCCAGCTTTAGGTATATTCAAGGGAGGCGAGCGCGTGCTGCCTTTGAAGACATACATTCCATACTCTGTGTCAAATCTACTTCCATATTTAGCTACGTATCTGCAGCAATTTTTGGCGGTATTCTACGCAGTAATGCTTAACGTTAACTTCGACTGTCTCGTTTATGGTTTTACGATTCAAGCCTGCGCACAAATCGATCTGATGTGCTTCCGCTTGACAGACAGTTTAAAGAATATTGGCGATATTTCTTCCGGACGAAAGCCGGAAACAAATGCCTCGATCGAGGAATGTGTCAAACATCATTTGCTCGTGAGCAATCTGGTAAAGAAAATACGAGAATTGTTTATATGGACAGTAATGATATTCTTCTTCTTCAGTCTGCTCATTGTATGCACCAGTATCTTCCTAATATCAAAGGTATCGCCAAAGAGATGTTTTGTGTATCTTCAACGATACGACGTACATTTATTTCTTGCAGAAGAAACTACTCAGCTTTGAGTTTCTTTCAATGTTCCTGTATCTGAGCGGTATGCTGCTTCAACTGTTTTATTATTGTTGGTACGGAAATGAGCTTGAGTTGAAGGTAAATAAGCGTAACGTTGAAAATGATATGTGTAAAAGCCTAGCATTTTTAAAGAAATAAATAAGAAACAAAAAATTTGGGAAGAGTATTATATATAGTTCAAAGAAACAGGATAATTGTTTATCCAGCTGTAGAAATAATTAATATTTCCGTATGAAAAAATATATGATTATATGGTCAATTAATGTTTTGCAAATTTTTTTTCATAGAGTAAAGGTATTGCGACTATTGTTTATTCCTGCAACTGGACCATGGCGACACCGCAAGAACGCAGATCACTGATGCTAATTATGATAAGCAGTCAAAAAGGAATAATATTTTCCTATCACGGAGTATTTGCATTATCTCTTAATACTTTTGCTTGGGTAAGTAAAGTATGTAGGTATGTACATATTATGTGTACTGTGAGATTTATACAGAATAATAATTATTGCGACAATTATCTGCGGAATTATCAAATAAGAAAGAAATAATTGCGCAGATTAACATGAATATGAATGACATTATTCTTAGACATTTAGCAGTGATGTAATATCTTATTTTTGTAGATTTGCAGGACTTCTTATTCAGCGTACAATCTCTTGCAAGGAGCATCAAATTAATCAACTGTTGGATTATATAGAATAAAAAAACTATTTATTTTGCTGTGCAGTTCTTATTGTTACGGTGTTAAAACATACGGCGTAATATTTTTTTAAAGAATTTAAGATTTCAAAGATTATATTACAATAACAAGGTTTCCACGCGATCATCGCATAAAAAAATGTGATGAGATAGTATAATGAAGTATGTATATAGAATTTTAATAAAAATGTTATTTGATTAAATGCAATTCCATAAAACTGACATACATTTTTGGTTTATTTTCACTAAAAACAAAAGAATACAAGAATGTTCTAAATTAGATTTAAAAGAACGTGATTTATTATTATCATTATTATTATTATTATATTTTCGAATACTATGGTATTATTCTGTTATTCTTTTAAAAATATAATTTTATTTTTATTAATAACACGAGAAGGGATTTTTACTCATATTAATAACGCGAGAAAGCACTTTGCTTGTCCTCTATGGTTTCCGTCATCATTTAACTAAATAGTTGGATTACTTTGGTACGAAGACATCTATTTGATTTGCCATTTGCACAGTGGTTTCCTCTTTTCTCGTCTGCTGCTAGGCCAGCAAATTCATCGCCAGTTGCTTAAGACAACATTTGACAATCTGAATTGATGTTCATTCTTTTCATAAAAGCCTCGTAAAAGTCGTAGATTAATTTCTTAAGTCTCAGAATCTGGGTTAATCATAGGAGATTACCACCACTAATCGTTCTAATTCGAATAAATTGACCGCAAGATGAATCTGCATATCCTTTATTGAGAAATTAAAAATCTTTATTTTAGAAGACCGCATATGTGAGAACACAATCAATGCTAGAAATTTAAAATGCTTATTATGGTCGAACCTGGATCTTCATTGCTTTTAAATAATTCAATCTTGAATTACTAATATATACTATGTACTTGTATATATATTGTAGTCTTTTCAAATTGCGCGCCGAATTGTTTTTCCGGACTATAAAAACAATTAAAAGTATTCTAGTAATCACGAATTAAATTGAGCCACTATTGAGAATTTGATTTGAGACAGGACAAATATCTACCATGATATTTACATGTGCGAGCTTTCATAGAAGTAGATATTTCGTTATCACGATTGTTGTTTGAAATTAATTTGCTATATCAATTGGAATATTTTAAATAAATATTTTATTTTATGATGCCACAATTTTACAAAACTTTGTAATAAAAATTTAGTTAAGGCAAAACAATTTACATAATTTTGAATAAATAAATTGTTTTTTTGAATCTCTTAATTATTTTTTATTAATATATTCTAATCCAGATTTCTTAATTTTCTTTTTTCAGAGTATTTGCTTTATTTATGCCAGATGCATTTGATGTTAAATAAGTTTTTAGACGTATTGAATTGCCAGATGTATTTAGATGATTGATTTTAAATTATGCTGTTGTTAGAATTATATAAAGGAAAATAGAATTTACTCACGAAAGTGTACATTCTCTGTTTTATCTTGAAAACATTTCCATATAATATGTAATGATTTACTTGCAACAAATTGCAGCACTGTTTTATACAATAACGTTTAATATTTCCTTTGACGAATTCTGTTTCGCAAATCAAATTGTTCTATCTGTTGCTGATTAAAAAATATTAGGCCAAATTATATAAATGCGATTCACTTTGGACGAATATACAAGGATATTGCAAATAATATTTGTTTTAATGATTAAACATTGTGAAAGAGAAGTTTTGAGGTTCGTTATGACAGCTGAAAAGGAATTACTTTTATCTGTAGAATTTACATTATCTATGAATATATGGGTAAAGTTGAGAACAAACATATTTGTCATAAAGCAGGTTTGTCGTAAAGCTAGCTTGTTACATATAAAACTGATTTCACACGGTTTGTCATAAAGCTAGCTTGTAAAATATAAAACTAATTTCAACATTACAAAATATATCGAATTTATTGTCATTGCAGCAATCTAAATATACATATTGATATTAAGAATTAAATTGATTCAAACTAATTAATTAATTGATATAAAAAGAAATTACGTAAAATATTTGATATTATAATAATATAAATATACTTTTGTTTTCTCCAAAATTTTTCTAAAATTTTTTAATCTTAATGAGGTTTTAATCGTCTGCAGCAAATTTTGATTAAAATACATCACATATATTGTAAAAAATTAAAATGGACTTTGTATGTATATTTTATATTTTATATAAGATAAGAGATGCAAGATGTAATACAGTACTTTTTGAAAAAAATCCACATTTTTATATAATTACTTTTTACACTAAAAAGAATAAGATGCAGAGTCCTAAACACTGAATTTTTGGTGCTTAAATGATTTTGTGAATTTATATGTTATATTTTTAATTCTGCAAACTGCGCGTCAAAATTAAATTTCAGTTTTCAAACTCAATCCTAACAGATGTTTTAATCAATGAGAACAGTTTGTAAAAACTTCTTACCTTCTCTACTTTCAGACTATGCAGTTTGTCATTTATGTAGCGCTAGTCTATAGCTTTCGCTGGTCTATTATTATTTTCTATGCCTCTGTTTTCCTATGATATTTAATATTACATAGCAGAAGAGTTATTCAACAAATTCTTATTTTGCAAGACATGCAATAATCTTATGTTAAAAGCATACTATATAAAAACGATTTATATTCTTCAATGAACGAAACAAATGCGATATTGAAGAAAGGCTCCGATGAGAGAAATGACTCGATCATATTAAAATTTAACGTGCGGTTGACAACATTGTATGACATTACTAATGCAGCTCGTAATAATGGAACGTCATCGGAAATTTTATCCGATAAAAGAAGAGAATCAAACTTATACAATATTAAAAGACAAAGATATTTTGCGACTCAAACGCGACAAGAATAAGGTCTCGACAATTACGCAAAAATAATATGACGATATGGACATTCTACCAATAAACTTTAAGGCTCTGCGTTTTTGCGGCGTATGGAAAGAGCGCAAAGACGACAACATATGCGTCAGATTTTTGCGCTTTTGTTACAGGTATGTCATACATATGAAGCAGTTATATTAAAATTAATATATCATACGGTGTGATATATTATTTTTAATATATCATATAATTAATATATCATATAAAAATTGTGTGTGATATACAAAACGTTTCTTACATCGGTTTGTAAATTTTACTATGCCCGAACCTTTCTCTTCCTGGTCAGTTTATTCATCAATTATTTAAAACTGTGGATATCTGCAGGTACACAATTTTTTTCTTGATATATGAGTTTACGATATTCGATGTGATAGAGGTGATTCGCACGCGCGACCACGTTCAAGAATTGACCGAAGGGCTTTTTCTGGGACTGACTTTCTTAACACTCTGCGTGAAATATATGAATTTTTTGCTACGAGAGAGCGAACTGTCGGATTTGTTGGATTCCCTGCGTGTAAAAATGTGTCAGCCTAGGAATTCCATAGAAAAGCTAATAATAGAACAGCACAGTCGTAGAGGTATTCGAGTAATTCGCAAATACATATGTTGTATGCATATTGTTTTACGTAAATTTATATCAAAGATATAAATATATATATCAAAGATTATTAATAACAATTAAAAGTGACAGTAGATAATCACCTGTTTAAATCTGTTAATATCATTCACCTGTTAATATCATTCAGTTAATTAAATGTTATGTAATTTTAATAAATGTGCAAAAATATGGTAAATGTAAAATTTTGTGTTTTAACATCGCTCTCTCTCTCTCTCTCTCTCTCTCTCTCTCTCTCTACCTCTTTTTCATTTAATGTGAAGTATTAAATGTATTGGATTACAAAAATGTGCAAATAGAATTTAAATTTAAAAAAATTAAACAATTAAAATTAATTGTGAGTTAATAATGTGCGTTCTTAATTTCTTCCTAATTGTCATAGAGAAACAAAAGATAGAAGATTAATTAAATATTAGTTTCAACTGGTATTTACTGGAAATCAAATATTTAACAGCTAAATGGAGCAGCATACTGTTCATGATGATATCGTATATGACTGGATTTGGTTTCATGATTACGCCAGCTCTAGGATTACTCAAGGGAGGCGAGCGCGTTTTGCCGTTGAAGACATACATCCCATATTCCGTGTCAAATTCTCTTCTATATCTAGCTACGTATCTGCAGCAATTTTTGACCCTATTCTACGGAATAATGCTTAATGTTACCTTCGACTGTCTCGTTTACGGCTTCACAATTCAAGTTTGTGCGCAGATCGAGCTGATGTGCTGCCGATTGACAGACAGTTTTAAGAACTCCGGTCGTATTTCTTCCGGACAAAATCGAGAAACAAGCGCATCGATTGTGGAATGTGTCAAACATCATTTGCTCGTGAGCAATCTGGTAAAGAAAATACGAGAATTGTTCATATGGACAATAATGATATTTTTCTTCTTCAGTCTGCTCATTGTGTGTACTAGTATCTTCCTAATATCAAAGGTATTGCAAGAATCACATTTTACATATTGTATTTTCGACAATGTGTACATTTAATTCTTGCAGAAGAAACTACTCAGCTTTGAATTTCTTTCAATGTTTCTGTATCTGAGCGGCATGCTGCTTCAACTATTTTATTACTGCTGGTACGGAAACGAGCTTGAGTTAAAGGTATATAAGTGCGCGTATCGTTATAAATGGCATATGAAAACTTAGCTTTTTCGAAGATGCATTCACATGGACAATAGAAAGTTTAGAAAGTTTTAAATCTAACCTACAATGTGCTCACTGTTACTAGCTTTTTATCTATTGCCTTTTTGCTTCTTATCTTATTTTTTCTTTCTTAAAAGTTGACCAGTTTCGAAAGAGACAAAATATATGTAACAAGAAGCACGATTATTGATAAAACAGTTGTAAAGAAGGATAAAGTTAAAAGGCAAGAAGAAGATAAAAAATAAAGAATCAGAAACGTGCTAAAACAATTGGCTGTTCGTGTGCAAAAACAATTTTGCCGCTTCAGAAGTAGGGGAAGTCCGGGCAAAATGGACGCCCTGGGTAAATATAATGGGTAATAGTATGATGATTTGTTTATGACTGATCCAATGCAGTCATTATACTAAATGGGTCCATGAAGGCTGCACTACATATAGAGGATTTGGTAGCTATTTTTGTGACGATTTCCAAGACTGATTCTAATTTTTTTCATTTGCATTGCTCGAGTGATCCATTCGCTTTGCCCAGGTGGGTCGGGCAAAGTGGTTTCTCTTTCTTTATGTTTTAACTAAAACGACATATTAATATTCAAGATTTTTAATTTTTTTAAATTTTATTTCAAAGTTAAATTCTTTAAGAGATTTATGAGAATAAAAATGGTTTCTGATCTCAATTGTGTCATTTTTTCTCAACCTTAACATGTCCGCGCTGCCCGGGTTTTCCCTATACATATATTTGTATCTATAGATCAACTAAAACAATAAACAAAAACGAAGACAATAAAAAAATTGTGTAGATATGTGTCAATAGAAGTAGAGGAAGACAATTTTTATGAAGACGCATCCAAGCAGAAATGCAAATCACGATAACGTCAAAACGACATTTAAATAAATCGAAAATGATTGAAAAGTGACTTTTAATGATCATTTTGGAATCATTTTGATATCATAATGACTTGTTTTGCTTTGGCAGCAATATTCAGAAAGCAATTTCATTGCATTTTGTACTATGTATATTCAAGTATAATTCATTAAATCTTAACTTCAGCTGTCTCTATGGATTTGGCCATCAATGTGTTATGCACGTGTTAATGCTCGCTAAACATGCCTCTGCGAAAAGTATATTGTAAATAAAATTATGATTCAATAAAGAAATAGTTTACGATTGTTCGAATATTATCTCATAATGGATAGAGTTAATATCTCCACATGAACAAATATAAGATCGATTGATTAATGCTTTGAGAATTTTCTTCACAGAGTAAAGACATTGCGACAGCTGTTTATTCCTGCGATTGGACAATGGTAACACCGCGAGAACGCAGATCGCTGATGTTGATTATGATAAGCAGTCAAAAAGGAATAATGTTCTCTTATCATGGGATATTTGCGTTATCTCTTAATACTTTTACTTGGGTAAGTAAATGAAAGTAAGTGAAACATATATTTTATGTATATTATGCGTTCTACTTGATGCTCGCAACGCTGGAATTACTTCATTTATGTTGTTTATCAAATGTTATTGTTAAATAAAAACAAAATAATTCTCGCGAACGTTGCGAACGCCGAGTACACTAAGTGTATTGCGAGATTTATGAAATACAAAAATGATTGCGACAATTATTTTTGTTTTGAGTTAAGATAGAAACCAATTCCATAAATTAACATATATATGTAAATAAATATCTTTTGAACGTTTCACAGTGATGCAATATCTTATTTCCGTAGATTTGCAGGACTTCTTACTCGGCTTACAACCTCCTGCAGCAAGCATCAAACTGATCAATTATCTCATTAAATATGTAATGAAAAAATAATATTTATTTTGCTCTGCATTTTTTACATTTTCTTATACAAAACATAACAGTGCGGTATTTTTTCCATCTACTATTATCTATAATAATAGACTTTTTTCACAACAAGCATAATCTATTTAAGCACATTATAAACATTTTCACATAATGCATTATTAAGATATATCGTTAAAAAATATGATGAGATACATAACTCATATACATAATAATATATTCATATATAAAATTCTTAGATAACAATTCTAGATAACAATTCCATAATGTTAATACACAATTTTAATATTCCGCTTAAAATAATGTTTCTAAATATTCTGATATATTGCCGAATTATATGGCACCTGTTGTTTTGTTGAAAATACTCTTTTATTTTTGTTTATATCAACTTAAAAAAAAGAGGCATTTTTCGCAAATGTTGCTTCGATTCGTCGTCATCAGGCTGATTTTGCCAGTTTAGACACAAAGGCGTCCCACCTCACTTGCCATTCGTTCAACGCATTCTTTTTCTCTTGATCGTTCATGCTGCTATAGATCAGCGAATTCATTGCCAGTTGCTTGAGACTTCTGAGATCTGAATTAGCACTCATAATACCCATAAAGGCTTCATAAAAGTCATAGGTCAATCCCTTGGCACCCCAGAATCCGGGATCATCGTTGGAGACTACCACTGGCGATCCTTTTGCGAACAAACTAGCCGCAGGATGATTCCGCATGTCCTCAACAAGACCAAGAACTTGGTTTGAAATAGGACAGATCTCTACCGCTATATTTGACTGCTGCGCAAACTTCCATAAGAACGGGTGTTTTGTTAACGCGTATCTATATAGAGAAATATCGTCGATGTTTAAAATCAATTTGCTATAATAATTAGGAGTGGAATATTTTAAATAAATGTTTGATATATCATAATTCATTTTGCATTTTATTACAATTATATAATAAAAATTTATATATAGAGGATGTTATATATAGAAATAGTTGGCCAAACTTTAAGAGCACATTTCACTCATTGTAAGAGTGAAAAAAGTCATATAAATATGGGTTCAAATATAAATATGGCTTCCTTTCCAAGTTATAAACATTTTTTTATCTTATACCTATATTTTATTTTATACTTATATCTATATTTCATTTTATACTTGTATCTATTTTTTATTTTATATTTATATTTACATTTTTATTATAGAAATTGCTGGAAATGATTTCCTTTGTATTATCGCTGTGCGTGAAAAAATACGAAATATCCGAGAATTTTTAAACGTCTTCGACAATCTACGCGACGTCGATGCGAAGCATGCATCGATGCGGAAGGAAATCATTTCCATACATACACACACACACAACACAGTAAATTACTTTCTGTATGACTTTCTGTTTGACTTCTTAAATTTATCTTTATTAGTGTTTCAGTTCGGATCTTTTTAATTTTTTTAAGTTTTTGCTTTACTTACCCATGACCAATGCGTTTGGTGTTGAGCAAGATAGCGTCGAAGAGATTCAAATCGGTAGATTCCCCGTTCCAGTTGGTCTCGCCGGAGTGGAAGAAGAATGGAATACTCGGATCAACGCTTTTCAATTTGTCTGCAAATTCGGTGAGGGGTTTCCCTTTATCTTCCTGGCCGACCAAGTCGAAGCCAGCTATAAAATCTGGTAAGTGTTGCTTTAACTGCGCCAATGTGTCCAGATAGTAGTCGAATTTTTTCTGGTCAACAGCACGATTTGGCGCATATATGATTTTAACGCCGATGAAATCGGGATGATCCTTCATAAACCTGTCGCGTCCATTATTATGTTACCTCATTCGCATTATTTCTCAGCGCAGCCACCGAATATTGGGATAATTAATAAAACGGAATAACTTCTTTCAAGAAACTGCTCGAGATTGTTAGTTTCAAAATAAGAAAAATTATTGTGAGATCATATTTAATTATTACATTTTTGTCACTTATTATGCTCACCTGAAATTATAGAAATAAAATAATTTAAAAAAGGAAGCATCTTACCTATCAGCGACGTCTTTTTGGAGTTGTGCTTTTTCCAATGCTCCATACGACTTGCCGTCATAACTATCGTACAATGTCGATAATGTCGCTCGTATTTCCGCGTACATCACGTTGTCCTCATAAAATTCCTGGAGATTGCGATAAAAGAGATCCTCATAGGCCGGTCGATGTGATAAATAACCTAAGGAGTCAAAGATGCTATTGAACTTCTCCCATGCCTTGTTGACGGTATTGTAAACGATTTTCGGATTTTTCGTAATCATGGTCATAGATTGCTTGATCTTTTCATTAATATTTTTGGCCCGAGCCGGATTTTTCCGTACAGTGCTCAGTAATTCCCAGTGACAATCGTTGTTAGGTTTCTTAAAAAATTTGAGATTCACAGAACCATTCTTATCGCACACGTATAGGTCCTTGCGATAAGTCAAATTGTTGAATCGATAGTCAAACGAGGCTATGGCGGATTCGTGAGCATGAAGAACAGCTCCTTTAGGCATATCGCGTAGAATCTTGAATACCTCAGACTTCTCAATCTTCGATATCACTTCCATAAAGTTAAACGACGGCAAAAAGGTATTACCAGTTATAAAACCTGCAGAAATATGAGAATTCCAGTATTGTAAACCAAATAAGAAAAATATTAGAATTATACAAGGTCACAAACTTTGAAGCCCTCGTTAATATTCATTTTTTCACTACGCTTCTATAAGCCAAGTTTTAGTATTGATTTTCTTTTAATGGACGTTTTCCAATAAAAGACATAATTAACACAGAGACTCATTTTATCCTTATTTAACATTAGCAAACAACAAAAGTATAATGGTTTACTGTATCGACTGTTATACTTTATCGACTGTGCTTTTGTTAAAAAACGTTCAATATATAAAATATTCTTTTTTGATAAATTATATCACTGAGCATCATATTCGATAAATTATTTGTCATATCCGTCGTAAAAGCGGATATTCTCACATTTAGTTCACACAGTAGTTCACGGTTTATGCACAATCATTGATAACACGTAGCTGACAAATCATTAATTTATAATATGGACAGTTCGCTGAGAAAACGCATATTTCTCAACACAATTTAAAGAATCAAATTATTGAAGTTAGATAATATAATATAAGTATGCTGTAACATAGAATTTCTTTAAAAAGAAGAATTTTAGATACAAGCCATGATTCGTTTCATAAAAGAATTGATGCGATAAAGATGACATGTATACATTAAATGAAAATTCTTTTGAATTTTCATGTTGCAAAATTTATTTCAGAATGACATTTTACGGATTTCATTTGAAAAAAAGAATCTAATAAATAATTTTTAAATATTAATCTTTTCTTTGAATTTATTTAATCGCGGACAAGATAAACGCGGTGGTCAGTCGCGAACTGATCCGGTTCGTGCGAACTAATGATTATAAGTGAAAGGATCGAACCGTCGTAGATTTCTCGTTCTTTTGCCTTCATTAGAATATCATTGGCCTTGGTTTCAATGGGACTAAGTTCCAGATCACCACCCAGAGACTCATGATTTTCATCCAACAATAGCTTTCGTCGTATTTGCCAATACGGTTTATGTTGCCAGAATTTTTGCATGTGTTGTTGTGTCGATGACGTAATATCGCTGGGGTACCCGAAAGTTGCTTGACCACAAATCAAGATCGCCAAAATGAATAAGAATATCCTAGCCATGGTCGTGGTTACTGCTGCGAATTATCGTCGTTATAAAATCTTGACTTAGCAATCACAGAGACCACAGCGTCAAAAAAGTTATGGTTCTGCGTGATTGTGTGACCGTCACGGCTGCTCGATCTCCACTGAACGACTTTTAGGAACCATCATATCTAGAAGGAAAAACCTGATCGATAAATTCATTGATACCCATATGCGTTGTTGATGATCGCCACATATGTTTATTAACCATTTATATAAATCAATCCAAATAAATCAAGCGTTGTGACAGAAGTCCAAATGCGCGATTCCACATATGCGATTTGTGAATCGGTTTAATATTTCATGTAAATTCATGTAAATTTATTCGTAATTAATGAAATTTCGTGCTACAAATGATATATTTAACACGGTGATATTATGTATGAAGAGATACAGGCTTCATGCAGGTATTATTAAAGATAAGAAAGATCACCTACTTTTAATGAAGAATGCTTACGATCCTTGATACTTATTATTAATGCACTTCCAAGTGTGATATGGCTAACGTTCGCCAGCATTAATAAATATTATGTATGCACATAACGTACATAATAATTATTCATATTGAATGTAGGTCAATATTTAGCGAATGTGTACAAAGTTGGCATATTTATCGCTTTTATAGATATTAAACTGATCTGGAATTCACTCTTCATTGCCAATTTTAAATTCCTTCCCCGTCGCGCCGTGAAGAAAAACGATTTCAATCAATCGATGAATCTGTAAATTTTACCTGTTGGGTAAGTAGCAAAATTATCCAATTACATGCGCGGTTATCAGATTTACCATAGGTAAAATTTACCAAAAGAGGGAATAAGCTTACTCTCTTATTCTCTCTGCTTTTATTTTTTTATTTATCTAGTAGATAAATCACATAGTTTATCAAAGATGGAACAATCAATCTTAAAAGAATGAGACAATGAAATCTGATTAATGTGTATTGAAAAAATGAAGTAATGGTAAAGAATGCTTAAATTTATCGAATTTACAATCAGCTGAAATTTACCGAAAGGTGGAACAATCCACCCATAGAACAAAAAAAAAAACATTATGAATAATCAGATATATACTTTCTTTTTAAATATTTCTTTTTCCATATTTTTCATTAATAAAACTACAAAAAATGTATAAATATATTTTATAATACATAAAAATTATTCTAAGAGATAAATTCCAAAACAATACTAGATCAATCGCAATCAATACTAGATTACTATCATAAAGAAAGATGTTGTTTCTAAAATGTTTATCTATCGTGATCTACTCTCGGTTTACC